GGCTGGAGTTGCACCCTCACAGAGAGAAATGAGTTATTTCATTTGGAAGTTACCATATTTTTCTGTGTATAAGACTAATTTTTTCCTAAAATCATTACACTAAAAATTGATGGGTGTCTTTTACACAGAGGTAAGCTGAGATAACTAAGGAGAGAACAAAACTGCTGTACCTTGCCTCTGTCTGAGATAGCTGAGGAGAGAACAAAAGGGCTGTACCTTGCCTGTGTAAACAAGTTTCCTCCAATCATGAGCCTTATGGAACTGATGTCAGCTGATGCTGAACAAACCAATTGGAACACACCTCATTGGAGGTAGAGCCTGCATGGACGACCAATTGGAACACACCTCATTGGAGGTGCAGCCTGCATGGAAGCAAAATGCCTAATGTTCTGAGCCCAGAGGCTGAATATTCACAGCTAAATTTTCTTAATTTGGGGGTTAGAAAAGGGGGGGGTGTCCTATAAATGGGTGTGTGTTATAAATAGAAAAATACTGTAGTTGTGCAAACATGGCAGTTTTAAAGGAACATGTCTCTCAAAGAATACCCTTTTATCACCTGTCAAATCCAAAGCTGGCATCTCAAATAGTTTGGCCATAAGCAGACATTGGCAGAGGCACCACATCTTATGTGATTGGGTGAAAGCTCACAAGCTCCTCCCTTGTTAGTGTGCTGACAAGGGAGCACAATGCATGCCCTTTTCCCCCACATGTCCAAAGCAGAACACACACCAAGCACCAAAGAGAACAATAAATAATTACAGTGGTGCTTCAACTTACGAACTTAATCCATTCCAGAATGATGGTCGTAACTTGAAACAGTCAAAAGTCAAAGCACCATTTCCCATAGGAATGCATTGAAACCCCATTAATCTGTTCCAGCCGGGAAAAAAAAATCACAACAAACCAACCAACCTAACAAAAAACAATGCAAGCCCTATCAGAATGTGCTGGGGCAAAAAAAAATCACAAAACAATCAAACAAACAGAGTAAGGCCCATTGAAATGTGCTGGGCCGTAAAAAATACGTGCTGGGGCTGAAAAAAAATCACAAAACAAACAAACAGTGTAAGCACCATCGAAACGTGCTAGGGCCGTAAAAAATAAATAACAAAAAACAAACAAACAAACAACAATGCAAGCCCCATCAGAACACGCTAGGGCCGGGGGGGGGGAATCACAAAAAACCCACACAACACCACAACAAGCCCCATCAGAATGTGCTGGGGCCAAAAAAACTAAAATAGAAAAACACAAACAGAGCAAACCCAATTGGAAAGCTCTGGGGCTGAAAAAACACAGAGACACACACACAACACAAACAGACCAAGCCCCATCAGAATGCGCTGGGGCCGAAAAAAGGAAAATCGACAAAAACAAAAACAAAACAACAAAACCCAAACAGAGCAAGACCCATCAGAATGCGCTGGAACTAAAAAAAAAAAAAAACACCCCAAAAACACAACACAGCAAGCTCCATCGGAAGGCGCTGGGGCTGAAAAAAAAATCACCCAAAAAACACAACACAGCAAGTTCCATCGGAAGGCGCTGGGGCTGAAAAAAAAACACACACCAAAACACACAAGAAATCACAGCATGAAAACATAACCCTCCCAGCCCAAACCCACCCTGCAAAACCCTGTATGTACTCACTTAGAAGCAGAAAGCAGCACCAGACAGTCTGAAGCCGCCTCCAACACACACACGGGCAAAAGAGCTACAAAGAAGCAGCCTCTTCACCGACCAACAGTTAGTACATTTGAATTCCCCGCCTTTTCCCCCACTTTTTTTCCAGCTGTAACTCGAAGCTCCGCAAGTTGAAGCAAAACTGTGCAGCCGGAGCTGGTTGTAACTCGAAATGGTTGTAAGTCAGGACGTTTGTAAGTTGAGGCACCACTGTATTGTACTCCTCATCTAAAGAGGTGGGGGTAGGTTAATGCAGTTCAGGACGTCAGTCTTTGATGTCTTATACTTCTGTAAATGTCTTAACATTGTCTCCAATATACATATAGCCCTGCTTAGCATACAAACTTGATGACCCAAGACCCCATCTCTTACTATTAGATTTTTTTTAACATGGAACTGTTAGATGCCCTCTACTTTATATCACTTTTTAAAATTGGAGATAAATGGATACAGATAACACAAACTTTTAGCTCACAAGGGATGTTGACAAATATACTGTATTAGGGTGTGTGATGTTGAGATTTTGGACAAGTCTTCGTCCTAATTCCCATTTTGCATTATCCTTACAGAATAATGTAAACTTTCTGTATAGATTATGTATCCACCTCCTTGCTTCTTGCTTCCTATCGCTTTTCCTAGTATGAAGTTAATACCAGCACAAAAGAGTCTGAGGAATGGAAAAGTATGTTGTGAAGACATAATATAAACAAAGCAAGATGTTAATAGATTCCATTTCTTCCCCAAATATGAGAATTGTTAAAATTGCTTAAAGATTGATTTCTGGGCATTGTATTGCAGAAATCTATACATAGATTGCAGAGCATCACATATGCCTGTCAGAAGATTTTTAGTAATGTAGGTGGTGACTAAATACATTTAGTAAAATTTAATTCTTTATGTGCTATAAACTGGCAGGATAGCTCAGTGAGATGGGCTGTAGGGCTAGAGCTGCGATTTTGATTCTCTACTGTACCTTCTGGAAGAAGAGCCAGCCTTTATAGCCAGGGGCAAGATATACACCCAGATCATGCTCAGAAGAAAGGAATAATAAATCACTTCTGAGTAGCAGAAACCTAGAAAACCCTGGGGAAGGTTGCCATAGCTTGAAATCAACTAGATGGCATATAATATTATGTGCTATAGACCAAGTCCCAGAGATTTCATTTAAAATGGTGTGATGGCAAACAATTGAATTCTAATATTTTGGTGATCTCCATCTGTGCATTAAACCTTATTGATCCATGCACATTGGGGAAAAGATTAAATGGTAAACCAAGCCTCATGTGAATACAAATGGCATTTTCAGAAAGCATAAACAGTTAAAGCACTCGGTGACAATTACAGGAACTGTGTAAGAATATATGTTAAGCAGATGAAATGCTATAGTTGGGTGACTGGATTATCATTTGCTTTAGTCCTATTGTCAACAAGGATTGCTGACTGTTAACCCTAAATATATCTTGCATTGAATCTCTCTTTCTTTCACTAGAGCTAGAATACTAGTCAAAGAATACTGCATACATCGCCAGCAGCAGACAGAATTTTTGATTTTCAAAAGCCTCTTGTCACTTGTGCAATTTCTTCTTCTGTTATAGAACTAACAAGTGGACTAACATGCATACGAGACTGAAAAGGACAAAAAGGAAATATTTGAAATTCAAAATCCATTTCCAGTATTCCAAGGGGCTGCTTTATATACCCAAGATGCCAAGGGGCTTTTTCAAATGCTACTTTATATGCACCAAGAGTCACTATTGTGAGGTGTTTAATTCCCTCAGCTAATTTATATTTACCTATTCTTGTCTCTTCGTAGAATACTGACATCACAGCTTTCTAATAATTTATGAAAATGTGAGGAATAGGCATATGTGTATGTAGTGAGGACTTTCCCATGGCTTCCAATTAACATTTGCCTCAAAAGAGGGACAACCCTTCATTTTTCATGTATGTTACAACACACCAATCCTGTTGCTTCATTCTGTCCTATATTTCATCTTAATCAATCCTTTTCTTATTTTTGCTGAAAAAGGTCTTACTTCAAATGCTAGCCTTGTATATTAAACTGTTTTAGATTTGTGGCTATACCCTTTTAAAAGGTCTAGTCAAATGGAAGGATGCTCCATAAAACTGTTTCCCTTCCACATGAAGAGGGTGAGCAGTTACAATTATATATTAGTATATAATAAAAGCTTACAGAGTCTGTTGTGACTAAAGCCAAGATCCTCTGTAGTAATATGCCTTGTTCTCGGCTTCTGGCTTTATTGCTTCCATCCTTTAGGTGAGCTAAGTGTGTTCTTCAGTACACTTGCTACTTGACACTATTGAAAAATGATTAAGGGAACTGTGGTGCGGTAGTTAAACTGCAGTACTCCAGTGAAGACTCTGCTCATTACCTGAGCTCATTTCTGGGCTCAGGTAGCCGGCTGTAGGTGGACTTACCGTTGCGTCCTTCCTGGGTCAGTAAACTGAATACCTAGGGCAATGTGTGACCTGAATATTAAAATTGCAAACCCATCCAGAGAGTGCCCTCCAACATTTCCACTATGATTATGTGCATAATTTAAACTGGAGAAGAGTTGTCCATGATAGTAATTTCATTTTCTGTGAAAAGAGTTGGATGAGTATGAAGAGTTCTTGCAGTTTCAGCAACCTACTAAAACTGCCATGTACTATGTGTTTAGGAGGCAGTCACGTCTGTTGTTGCCTGATAAGGCAAAACTGTGAAGTGGAATATCTGCATTCTACCCACTTTGCTCAAGAAGAAATACAGTTGCTCCTATCTGGGAATATGATTGAACGGGTGGCAAGGCCAGCTGTAGTATTAGGCAGAGTGAGGAAGCCCCTTCAGGTAGCTCATTTTAAGTGTCACGAAGAAACAGCAGATACTGTAGTTAACTATTTGATGTTAATGTTGCAATTTTACTGCCAACCAGGGATGGAGGAGATGCTTCTGGGGCCTTCTGCCTTCTGTGCCAATGAGCTTGGCTGAGTTTTGATGCAGTGCACACTGATTTGCTGTGAGAGATTGTGCTGTTTGAGATGTCACCTCAGTTGGCAAAAATGTCTTGAGCCAGCCCTAAAAAGATGGTTTAAAACTACATACAGTACCTACAACAAAGTAGTTTGGCCAATTATTCCAAAGGCCTTGGGATAACATATATATGGTAGAATACCACTAAATGTCTAGTTACATGTATTTAATAAGGTCAGTAGTTGGAAATATATGTCTTTATATGTATTTAAATTTTAACTTGTTTTGGTCATTTAATAATTTCATGCATCCTTATGCTTCTACATCACAAAATGTCTAATTACAGGAACTGGCCAATCTCCAAACCATCTCCTCCGTGACAGATATTTCAGAACACTGGTGAAATTGGACTTACTCCTGTCTGTCCTTGGAGTTCCAAACAGAGATGGATTTTCTGCCACGTGCTGAGAATCTGTGAACGGAACCTAACATGCTGGTCTGCTGTAAGGAGGTAAACTGAGATTATATTTTCGGAACAAGTTTCTAAGCAGAAGAGCGGTTCACCAATGCAATATGCTACCCGGGGAATTTATGGGCTCTTCTGCTTTTTAAAGTTTCAAAATTTCAGATGGTATCTCGAATATCAAAGATAACTTTTGCCTAGGATATCTTGTTATGGCACAGAAGAAAGACTGAGTGCCTGTTTAGGTCTTTTTATACATTATGTGCATGGAACACAGGAAAATAAATATTTGACACTGTGTAAGGTTGCTATTTGCAGTTTGTTTCCAAGACAGGGTCTTGGCACCTTTAGCACATGGTGTGACATGAATGAACTCTCATGCTAAATAGCAAAACGGCTTCTTTTCTATGCTACCTCCACCAGAGAAATGAAGCATATAAAAGTATGCTTTCTATTTTTGTTTACTGGATGTCTCTAAGAATACAGATTATAAGGAGATACAGACAATAAGGAAAATGGTGGAAGCAGAAATGAATGGAAGTGTTATTAAGCCATTATACAATAATGTCAATATAAATTAGGTCATGGAGGCATGTCTGTACCTCAAGTTGGAAATCTAGTGCCCTTCTGAAGTTTCAAACTGTACTTTCAGAACACTGACTCAGCATGAGTCAGTAAGGTCAGGGATGATGGGAACTGTAGTCCTGAACATCTGGAGGGCACCAGGTTGCTGGTAGTAGATCTCTAGAGTTTAACAGAAGTTTTTTCTAACTGTACCTTGACATGTCACGGATGGAACCTGTTATCTTTTGCACATAAAACACGCTCCACCCCTGAGCTATGGCAATTTCTAAACCAGCCTTTCCTGTATTCCCTTGACTGATGAAGTGATGCTTTTGTTGAAAGAAAAAGCCAGCCACTAAAAAGAAGAAGAAGAAAAAGAAAAGAAAAAAGCAAGTGCCATACCATGCTTTCTCACCTAGAAAAAAGTGACTATTTCACTAGGTACTGGCCAAAGTGCTAGTCTGAAGTTTATTATTTTGTTGCTGTTAGTGTACTATCTGGGCACTTTCATGATGACAGATCTTCAGTGTTATTATTACTGTACCCACCAAGGAACCTGCATATTCGCCATTCATCATAGAAAAGATGCTCCAAGTGTTTCCCTACCATTGGATTAATAGGAGCCTTCTAGTCAAGACAGTAACTGTGAAGAAAAATGCAGTTGTGTAGTACTGGTTTCTTTCGCAGAAAGATTTTACTGCAATCATCCAGATACTTAACCTTCCTTACGTGGGCATTATTTAGATCATACTGCTTTAAATTTAACCAGACTAGTTAAAAAAATTATAGACAGAATTTTTTAAGGAAGCCTGCTAAGGTAGGAAGTAGCCTTATGTGGGCTGTTGAACCACAGATAGCTACAATTGTATGCATGCTTAACATGTACTTAACATCCCCTCCCTGTTGATTTCCCTGGGACTTCTTTCAAGTGACCATTTGTAGTATTATGCATATATATACAGTATTTGGGTGGGAGTCGCATGAAGTGGCTGGCTGGATAACTCAGCAAGTTAGGTATCTGGTTGGAAATTCCCCACTGTGCATCCCAGAAGAGCTAGCCTATGTGGCCTTGGGCCAGCTGCATACTCCCAGGATACCTCCAGGAGAAGGGAATTGTAAACCTCTTCTGCGTATTGTCTGCCTAGCAAACTCTGAAAAGGGTCATCATAAGTCAGAATTGACTTGACGATGCATGCTTCTTCTTCCTCTTCTTCATGATTTTTTTTTATTTTATCATTTCTACCTTAACTGACAATTGAAAGTGAATGCTGATTAAATTTTTTTAGCAGGAACAGATAGTTAGACAAAGTAAGAAGGTATAAGAAAAACAAAGCATGATTAAAATAATGGACTATTGTAACTGCTAAAACGTGTATCATGTAAACATGCAGTTAGAGACTTCAGAGCATGGATTACTGAAGGCATTATTGCTATCTTCAATGTAAATATTTATTTAGACAATATTTAAAGAGGATATTGTTTTGCACCAAGGATGGAAACTAGTTTTGCAGTGCACAATACTTTCCATTCCCCCCTAAATGTAAACATATCAAGAGAGTCATGTGCTGAATATTAATATGGTATAAACTGACATAAATAGTACAGGAGATACTCCCAGATCCACAGCGAGATGGGAAATTGGATGGAAGATCCAAGTGTATTTTAGCTCCCTTTGAATGGCTAATACTGTACTTTACCATTCCCCATGGCAGAAGGAAAAAGAGAAGACTTGGTTGAGTGGGGAGAAGGGCAGGAATTCTAACCCAGTTTCACTGTTGTACTGACTTTTGTGAGCTTGGCTTCCGGTTGATGAAAGTAGAGTTTCCACATCTCTTCCACAGCTCTTAAATTTTTTAAGTGCTAATATAATTGACTGCCCTTTCTTCCAAAACTGAGATTCCAACTATTTAAGTATTAGAAAAGCTGTGACTAGCTGACTATAAGCTTCTATATATCCTAGTACACTCTCCTATTTCCCACCTGAAACTAAACCAGGACTCACAGGCCATGCTGCTCTGGGGCTTCCAGGGTTGGTCTCATAAGCAATCAACTGTGGTTTGACATTTAGGAAAGAGGGAGGAAATTGTGGAGGGCAAGGCTGTGGGTATAAAAGGTGGACAAGTTCCAGAGGAGGAAGTCAGCAATGGTGATGGTGAAGAGCAGGTGGATGAGGAGATTGAACCAGCCATACTGGCAAAGCTCTTGTACAAAGTAGGCTATGGCTTTGCAAGTATCCCCTGATATTAGGCCCAGAGACTGTACCGGACTACATATTGGCACCGTTATGTCAGGATGAGGGCCGAGCCATTCCAGCACAAAAGAGGCACTGGAGATGTGTCAGGCTTGGCAACTCTGTTACTCTGAAATTGAAGACTGCCGTCCTTTGAGTAACTGGGGTCACAGGCAGATCACAGAGACACAGCCAGAAAGAACCACTTGTGAGAAGGACTGAACATGACCACTCCTGGGCCCACCCACAGACTGGAAAGGACCCAGCATGGGTCAATTGACATAACAGAGCCAGGAAGATGTAAAGCATTGGTTTTAGAAACAAGTAAGATTTCATTAGTTGTCAGTTCCTTATATCACTTCTCCAAAAGCTTTTTGGCAATCTCTACCTATGGAGAGCACAGGGGACTAGAGTGAATGAGGTGAGATTGAAGAAAGCATTGAAGAAAGGTTAATATGGCCATCTAGTCAGATTCTTTACATAAAATGGAGCAATCTTCTTCTGCACCTCAGCAAAATGTCTTGGGCCAACCTGCTGCTTAGGATTGCAACCTAAGGATGAAAGATGAGGTTCCCATTTCAAAGCTCACCTCAGGCACACACTCATTAGGCAACATATTTGCATTTGAGTCTTTCTTCAGTGGTGGTAATGGGATACAGTAATTATTTACCACAACTGAAGGTAGCAGACCAAGTAGGTGGATTAGGATTTTTCACATGGTGTGCACAGATCTGTCCTTGAACAGAGGGGAAATATTTGAGGGAAGAAATACAAACAGAACTGTTATGGCTGCCCCCGCTTCTGACACCTGCGGTGGTTGCCTCACTCCAATTGGGAGAAATTTGTCCGAGGGACTCATTATTTATGACTTACAGTCTGTGACTGCAAAGTGGAATTTTTTTAGGTGAAGAGAATATCTTTTTGTCACAGCAGGAGTTTTCACTTCTCCTACTTGTGGCAAATTAACTCGCTTTGTTTGGTGGCCAATAGGTTCTGGCTTTGTTTGCAAGTATAATTGTTCAGTCAGGAATATCTCCTTGCATCTAGTGTCAAGTGGAACACTAGTGGATTTCCAGCATCTAATAACAGGCTCTTTGCAACATATAATTTGGCCCTACTTCAATTAGCCATTGAATACAATGGGACTCATACTTGAGGAAGCACACTTAGGATTGCTCTGAAAGACAACGTATTTCATATCTTAAATTTTATTTGACTGATCTATGTATTCAATTAATTAATTACATATTAAATTATAGATTAGGATGCTGGGAATTTTATACCCGTAGTGAGTGGATCTCAAACAGTTTACTTAATTAATAGTCACAAGGAGTTGCATGCACACATCCCAGATCAGTTTTTCATTTATAAGCTGCTTGCTTAAAAACTAACTGGCAAAACCTGTTGTCACTGTGTAATAAACTCATCTGATGTCAAATTTAGATCAAAGCAGGTTGAGTTAAAATGAAGGTCTTTTAACATGGCAAACTGCTTTTCGCCCCATCTATGGGAATTGTTACAGTGTTCTGATAACTGCTCCAAGTGCTGCTCTTTCACTGTTTTCACTGAGTGACTGACCCACTTTAACTTCCCATGCACTGCAACAGGACTGGCAAGGCAGAGTGCCTCAGTCAAGTGCCTCAGGTGAGTCCCCTATCAGGAGAAAGGCACCCTATACATAAAAACAAATAAGGAAGCAAGTTTGGGGCAGTAGTTGCATTCTCTGGAACCCCTGGGCACCCCCCTTCCCACCTCCACTGGACTTTTTAGTGTACGTCCTAACAAGCTGATACCCTGCATTTTACCAGTTTCAGATGATGGTTCCTGTTCTGTGTTGGGTATCGAGTATCATGCAGTGTTCCAGTCAGCACTCCTGAATGCCCACTGCTCCTGCTGCTCTGATGCTTTATGTTTGGGGCAGGTTGGCCAACGGTTTAGGGCCCTTGATACTTGGCGGAACGCTTACTCCCGCCCAGATCTACCCTTGTCACCCGAGCGAGTCAGGAGGTGAGGCTGAGGAGCCTGATGCCGAGGGAGGCCCGGAAGGAAAAAACAAGAAACTGGGCCTTCTCGGCGGTGGCTCCTTGCCTCTGGAACAACCTGCCTCCAGAGATTCGCGCGGCTCCCTCGCTGGGTATTTTTAAGAAACAACTGAAAACATGGATGTTTAGACAGGCCTTCCCTCCCAGTTAATCCCTGACTTCTCTCTTGCTTTCTTTATTATGTTTTCCCTTTCCATCTTATAGAATTTTAA